TTGAAGAAGAGTCTTACAGCGTTATGAAATCTCTCGGGTGATTTGATGGCCGTTTTCTGATCTTTTCCTTTACACTTCCATTATATCATTTTTATCACTCCCCACCATTCCCCTTACTATTTCCCATCATTTCCTTACCATTCTTTCACTACGCACACATAATTCTCTCAACATCTTAACCATTTTCTACCATTTCGTCTCACATAGTACTCAACCAATCCACATCCTCCCCTGCCATTCCTCACCCTCCCCCCCCCCCTCCCCAGCAGCGCCGGTGTCCAGCCCCAGTCCAGGTGTGAGTCCAATGATAAACAAGGTAGTGGCGCCAGTCAGGCGGCCGCCGCCGCCGCCCGCCCGCCCGCCCGGCTCCGGCTCCGGCGGCGGCGGCGGCTCCGGGCTGGCGGGGAATGAGACAGGTGCGCCACCGCCACTGGGGGGGGGGGGGGAGGGGGGAGGGAGGTGTTGAGCCGTAGAGGATGGGTATTGGTTACTGAGTTAGGTAGTGAAGTGTGTGGTTTAGGTAGTGTGAGGTTACATGCGTGGGGTTTACTTGGTGAGATACTTTTCAGTAAAGAAGGCAAGAATGAGGCCATATGAGTCCTCTTTTTTTCGGCAAGCATAATTAATTCGTTACTTTTTTTTAAAACAAAATTGAACAGTGGTACGCAACCAGTACAAAACACTCGATGACTATTTCGGAATTTCCGATTAGGGACCTATGACCACAAACGGATGCCCCGTCCCCGCCACATTCTTATCTTTCCTGCTGTATTCTTCCCCTCTTTCTCCTTCCTTTTTTTGCACATCCGCCGTCCCCGGACGATACAACAGCACTATCAGAAGAGGAAACGGCACAGGGAGGATAGAGGATGGGACGGTGGAGAGAGAGAGAGAGGAGGAGGAGGAGGAGGAGGGAGAGAGGGAGGGGAGGGCCATTGAGAATGTTTTCACAGCTGCTGGTGTCAGGGATAGGGTTGGGGGTGGGGGGGGGGGGCGCAGAGACAGCAACTGACGCCACTCAGAGGGGGTCCGCTCTCACCTCAGAAAGAGAGAGAGAGAGAGAGAGAGAGAGAGAGAGAGAGAGAGAGAGAGAGAGAGAGAGAGAGAGAGAGAGAGAGAGGGAGGGAGAGAGAGAGAGGAGACAAAATTATTGTGTATGCTAGTTTGAACTGTGAAGCTAGAGGTCAAGAATGACATGGAGGTTAAAATGGACGCTTTTTGGTAGTTATTGGCGGTAAGCAATAACTTATTGCTTACAGACTTACCCACCGCTAAGAAACCAATTAACCTTCGTATAAACCCAAAAACACGCAAAAGTCAAAGACGGTCTCCCCCCCCCTCCCCTGAGGACAGCTCTCTCTCTAGCTGAGTCATCCATCCGTCTACCATAACCTCGCGTGCTGGCTGGAGAGCGATGGCACACCTGAGCGCTAATGACTCACTGTATGCTAGCAGTATATCGCTTGTACTCAAACATGTGAAGGCCTACTCGTATATTAAAGCTGACAAAATTCGAAAAATGGAATTTTATTATTGTATATTCTCGGAAATATCATGACAACATAAAATTAATATGTAACGAAACCAAGCGCCGTTTCTTCAATTGGTCTCTATTTCATCACATGGATCCCAATTTCACCCGATAATCCCCGTGTGTATTTGCCCCTCACCTCACCTCCCCTCCCCTCTACCCATCGATGCATGTCGCCCAGTGCGCCAGATGCGCCGCAGCCGCGCCGTGCTCGTCTACCACCTGTGCGCGCCGGTTGAATCACCGCCATATGCGCCACGATCGCCTCACAGCCGGCGTGGCGCGCTAATTGCGCCGGGTTGGCCGCCAACAGGTGCGCCGAATGTGACGCAGCGGCGACAGATGGCGGGAGAGAGGGAGGGAGGAGGGGAGCGGGAGTGACCGTACTGCTGGAATTGGGTCAGAGATGGATATAGGGAAATGGGGGATGGTATTTGGATTTAAAAATAAACGCAACAGCGATAAAAAAGGTGAAAGAGAGAAACAGATCGCAACCCAAATGCATATTGCTTCAAGAAATTGAACGCGTAAAACATTACGGTTGACACAAAAGATCCCGTTAATATGCTTCAACTTACGTCACACCCAACATAATTGCTTTGAAATGAAGCTTCATATAGGACAAAGTAGTCCAATAAATACTCGGAAGGAACTGCATAAATTACTACCTCTACGAGTAAGCATGATGGATGGCTATCTTGAAGGAGCGGTTAGACATCTCATCAGTTTTACCATTTGGCCTTTCCTTATGTTATCTGCGACACCTCAAAGAGAGAAATCTGGCAACAGTTGAGAGAGAAATCTGGCAACAGCTGGACAGGTCAAAAGCCGCGATCGGTGGCGAGAGTTGCGCAGATGTGGCGATCCCGGCGCAGCTGCGGCGATTGTAACGCACCTGCTGCCGCTGACCCGGCGACCCAGTGGCCCCGTCACATGACCTGACCGCACGGCTGACCATCTGGTCACGTGACCTAGCCGCACTGCTAACTCTCGGGTCACGCGGTCAGTAAAGGAGCCTCAAATCACACATTTCTTCTTCTGCTTCACTCCCCTTCGGCCACCCAGCACACAAAAATCCCATCATTTCGATGCACATCCTAGAACTATGAGTACTCGACGCTGTGTAAATCCATTCTCCACCCATAGGTAAAGCAACGGTCCTCACATTTCACGTTAGAATTACGACCAGCCGGCATGTGTGTGTGTGTGTGTGTGTGTGTGTGTGTATGAGAGGCTTCCAGGGGTAATCAACCACCACCTGGCGTCTTCGTCATCTGTCTCCACCAGCTGTCTCTTAGGTAACGCCGCCTGTCTGACTCTCCTCTCGGTTACAATATGTCGACAATAACGGCGCACCAGTGGCAGTAACGGCGCACCGCTGGCAGTAACGGCGCATCAGTGGCAGATGGTGCGGCGCGGTGATGGCGATCGTGGCGCGATGCGACAGAAGCGCCGCAGTGTGGTGGAGAGACGGGCGGAATGAGGAAGAAGTGAAGAAGTGGAGGATCGAGAAGATGGTGTTGAAGAAGCGGGGAAAGTGAAGTGAAATGGAATGATGAAGTGTAAGCGTTAAAGAGTGGAAGGGGAAGAAAGATGGAGTGAGTGAAAAGATCAAAGCTGTGAATGTGATGAAGAGCAGCTCAGAGGATAGAAATAGTTGAAGTACGTAAAGTGAAGCAGTGGAAGGATTGGAAAAAGAGAAGCAGTGACTAAGTCATAGTGGAAGAAGAAGTGAGGAGTGGCATAGCAGGACTACTGAAATGCTGAGTGAACCTGGAGATGAGTGATGGGCTGGTGAACATGACGGACGAAGTGCAGGGTCGAGAAGAGCAAAGTACAGCTTGCGCTCTTCGGGTTGATGAAGACCAGCTGCTGATGCGGTTTTAAGCGTCGCTGGTCACGGATAAATTCTACGGCATGTTCTGCTCAAGGGTGACTATTGGATCACTAGAACGTAGAAATATGGCGAGCATTATGGTGAGATGCAGCAAATATTCGGATTTCTATTCACCCGATAGCTTCCGAGCACACAGTCGCAGACTTATTCCGGCAAGGAAAATCAGGCTTATAATTAATCATTACGAGCGAGCGAGCGCAGCGAGCGAAGCGAAGTCTTTTCAATATAACGGAAAAATCTCAGTATGAGCGGCCCGGCCCGGCCCGGCCCGGCCTGTAACGCTTTTGAGAGGCTTATATCTCAGCAACCGCTGGACCGATTGGCCTGCGGTCTTTTTTGTTGGGTAGCCCCATCCCTTCTACCCCGTAATTGACTACTTTTGATACATCTCAGTGACCGTCGTGGCACGTGCCACGTGAAAAGTCAAGGGTGTTCAAGCTGTTTTGCAAAAGTAGTGATTTTGAGAGGCCCATATCTCAGCAGCGGCTTGAGCGATTGTCTTGCGGTCATTTTTATAGGGTAGCTGCATCCCTTCTACCAAAGGTCGGATACTCTTCATCTATGTGAGTGACCCCCACTGCACGTGCAAAATACAACAATAAGAGGTGCCAAATTTGTTCCCATTTCAGTAACTCAGTAATTACTGGGGCGATTTCGCTGAAACTTGGCATACAGGTAGGCACCCACCAGGCAATGCATTCCCATGTGTTGCGGTTAGGGTGCTACTGCACGTGCGCACGTGCAGGGGGCGTTTCCAGATCTCGAGAACGGCTGGGCCGATTGCGCTCAAATTTGGTACACGGTTGGGGACCAGTTAGTAGGGTGCCGTGCAAAAGTCATTTTGGACCCCGTTTGCACGTGCGCACGTGCAGAATGCCGCTTCCAGATCTCAAGAACGGCTGGGCCGATTGCGTTCAAATTTGGCTCACCGCTAGCGACCGGTTAGAAGGGTGCTTTGCGCAAGCCCGTTGGAAGCACCCTCTCGCCCTTCCGCACGTGCAGGGCTCACTATCTCGCTCGCTCGTTCTTCGCCCAAAAGGCGTTTTACTGGTAGGTATCTGAAAAAAATGTTCTCCACGATTCCTAAAGCAGAATATCTGAGTCCCCAGGACACAGAGTATTTCATTCCGCTAATTATCGACGTCGAATTCGTTAAACATTTGACACAATCGGCTGCTTGTGTTTGTTGTAATTTTGTTTTGTGTGGTGGATTGTTGTGCTTCTGGTACATCGGATCCTGGTTGTGTGTGTTCGGTGTTAATTATTGTTTATTGTTTGTAGCTAACTGTTGTGTCAAGTGCACGTACCACTGTTGAAACTCATCTATGTCCCTGAATTTGGTTGCTTTTGCCTGTTTGTGTCTTATGTTTGTTGCTGTTTGTCTGTCACTGGTTTTCGTCTGCTTGACGCTTGGTATCGTGACGCGGACCATGACACGATGTACGACATTTTGCGTTATATTTCTTCCAGCAGTGCCCTATATTTCCACCACCCCAAAACCAATCATTCAATAAGTCACGCCACGTCGTCATCATTATTCTCAAAGCTAACCTCCTCGTCTCTTCTTTCCAGACATGGGTATACCCGAAGAACGCCTGAAGCGGGCCGACTTCGCCAGCAACATGGATGCCGCCATGGAAGCCAAGAGAGCCGCCATGATGTCCACGGCATGCACCGGAGGAGTTGCCGCAACAGCAAGAAGTCCGTTTTCTACGGGCTCTACCACGGACTCGGATGACAGCGTAGAGGTGCGAGTACGGAGCCCGGCGCAACCCAAGTACCGCAAACGCCCTCGTGAAGCTCGTGAGCCGCGCGAGGCGCGTGAGGTTCGTGACCTGCGTGACTCGCGAGATTCACCAGTGAAGACGCAGCTGGATGTGGAGATGGATGCGAAGCTGGAGAGTGATGGCAGCGATTCGGAACGAAGCGAAAGCAACAAGAGATCCGCTGGTGGTCTCTTGGTCCCCAAGAAGCGCTTCAAGAGGGACTACGAAGAAGCTACTAAGAAGGAAGAGCGGAGTGATGCCGAGTCAGACAGCGGACGCGAGAGGGACGAAGAAGCCAAAGTGTCTGGATGTGCTCGGCATCGTCAGGTCGTCTTCGAGTGCGCGAGCTGTCTTGAAGAGGTGGCCAGGAGGTTCGGTTGGCCGGCGCACGCCCTCCGCTCTCCGGCAGCGCCTCCCCCGCTGCCGCTGCCCCTGTCAGTCCTGCCGCCGATGGCGCTACCGTTCTCGCCCTTCGTCGACCCCTTGATGGCCTTCCGTGCGCTGGGAGCCGACCCTCGTCTAACTGCTGGACTCTTGGCGGGAGCGGCACCTCGGCCGGTATCTGCACAGTCGGCAAGGAGACCCTCCCCAACTGTGTCTGTTCAACCTGCAGCTGTACAAGAAGAAGCACCTCTGGATCTCACTCGTCGCACTTCATCATCGTCTTCCACGTCTTCGTCCAACCGCGGCGGAGGCAAGTTCAGCATCGAAAACATCCTCGCGGGAAGAACAGCCTCGACGTCCGAACGTCCCCAGGCACTTCCCGAACGTTCCCAAGCACTTCCTAGCGCTCCTCACCGACCAACTCCCTCGTCTTTGTCCCCTCCGGCACGTGCCGCGGCTCCCTCCAAGAAGCCCTCGCCTGCAGCCTCAGCAGCATCGAGGAGGGTCGTTCTTCCGACAGCTGGCGGCGAAAGACGCGAGCTGGCGAATGAGAGGGAGCGGATGAGGGTGAAACACCTCACCGGAGCGTTCAAGGAGTTGAGCGCCAGCATTGGAGGCATTGCTACTGAGTGTATTGGTACGTCTGGTGTCAAATTCACGAAGGTCGCTATCCTGAGGACGGCTTCGCTGTATATTGGTTATCTGTCGCATCTCTTGTCCGACGGCGCAGGACCTACTGAACAAAAGGTCTACGATCAAATGCGTGCAGCTATTTTGGAGGTCATGACATCCAAAAGTAAAAAGGGCAAAGATGATGACGATGATGATGATGATGAGATGTAGGTGTACCGCGTCGTGGTGGGATTGGATGCGGCCGTCCGTGCCGCGCTGTGATTGGCTGGTGGCTTTTCTCGCTAGACGTGCTCGAGTGGTGATTGGTTTAGGCCGCGAGCCGACAGCTGTGATTGGTGCAATGGGGAGGGGATTCTGCTGTGTTTTGTGACGTATTTTTGCTTGTTGTTATCTTCCGTGATTGAATAATTGTTAAACATTCCGTCGAAAAGTGCTTCCAAAGTGCCTGAAGTGTGGTGACGGCGTTTGTAATGTTATTTTTGACAGTAGAAGATTGTAGTCTTCTGATTGGTCAGCTATGGCTGTAGTGGCAGCTGATTGGCCGGTGGTTCACCGCGGAGATCACTGATTGGTCTACAGTAACCGCGATAGCTGCTGATTGGCTTTTCCCATGATGCATATATGATTGTTTGAATGACGCCAATAATAGTAAAAATATATATTATACTTATGAACATACAAAGCCTATTTCGTGGTATTTATTTTTTTCTTGAGCTGAAATACTAAGGCGATATGAACGAAATGAGAAGGACCGACAAACGGATTACCGAACTCGATGAAAGTAGGAACACGCACAAGGCACATTCATAATAACAACATGATGTTATTGAACCTACAAAGACACACCGAAAAATCAGTCATCACACAATTTGTGATATTTAGACGCGCTAGGTCACAAGATTTACAGTGTACGATGCAATCAGGAACGACTCCGTAACAACCTACGTTACTTTCTGCATTTTTTTACGCTTATCTGCAAAATCCTTAGTCAAAATACCTAACCCTGTTATTTTCCCTACACTATGGTACCCGCAAGATCACAAATTTTCATTTATCATGGTTGTCCCTCATTTTGTGTCTCATAGTCATAGCTATACCCTGGCTGCCATGAATCCTTCTAGGAAGGCTTCTTTCCTGCAAATGCGACACATCCAGAAACCGTCTCTCTCTCTCTCTCTCTCTCTCTCTCTCTCTCTCTCTCTCTCTCTCTCTCTCTCTCTCTCTCTCTCTCTCTCTCTCTATCTCTCTGTCCCTGTCTGTCTCTCTCTCACTCACTCACCCCATCTCTAACTCTCATATACCTCCCCCTCATAGCCACACCCCTACCCTCCTCAGCCTTCCCCATGACTCCTCTTTCCTCCCCCTCCCCACCCCGCTGCGGTCACCACATATCAATCCGACGATCTCTGCAAGGCCGATGGAAACCGGTCTTTGGCGCCAGCCAGACCGACCGCTGATCATTTTTACAGACCGCTGGCGCCAGCATTACACGGATTAGGGGGGAGGGGGGGGGGAGTGCAGGTGGTGCACGGAAAAGGAAGGAGCTGGGGGTGAGGAGGGGAGGGGTTGTTTGATGGAGGAAGCTATGTGGCGGGCGGTTTTGGCTACTGTCAGTGGCGGCGGAACACCTTCGATTAAGGGGGGGGGGGGCACTGGCTGCCGTTAACTAAGCCCAGTGTCTAAAGCCTAGACAAATACAGACGTGGATGCAACAATATTGGCGACGAGGCAACTTTAAGTTCAAGCTCTAAAATACGTTGAGCCTCTGCTACTCAGTCGAAAAAGCCCCGCGCAGCCATGGCCTCGCCCGCGCTGGAATTGCCGCAATTCGACGTATCTCGCCCTGACGAGTGGCCAGGATGGCTCCGTAGGTTGGAAAATATGTGTCTGGCGATGGATGTGTCAAATCCAGTCAGAAAAAAGGCATACCTCCTGCATTTTGCTGGTCCAGCAGTCTTTGACTTGCACGAATCCCTGCCTATGCCTCAGGCCGCAGAGCCCACCGATCAGGGGGACCCAGCAGCAGCCCAAGAGCAGAGGCAGCTGGATCCATATCAACTGATATGCAAACAACTCAGTGACTATTTCGTGCCACAGAAAAACGTTGACTACGAATGCGATGTTTTTCGCCAAGCCGTGCAGGGAGAAGGTGAGTCAATAGACAGCTTTGTCTCACGCCTGCGACATTTGGCCAGGAGCTGTGAATTCACGGATCTTGCTCGTGAAATCCGCCAGCAGCTGATTGCGGGAGTCAGAGACCCCAGGGTAAGGGAGAAAGCCCTGCAGCAGAGAATGACCCTGGAAAACTTGCATTCATTTGCAAGGGGCCTGGAACAGGCAAGAGCACAGGCCCGTGCCATGGAGGCACACCATCAAAGCCGGTTCACCAGTCTGCCTCCTGTAAAAGCCCAGAACATGGTAGAAAGCAAAAGAAACCTCACTGGCAAGCCCCGTGTCCAAGAGACAAAAGAAAGATGTTCAAGATGTCACAGCCCAAAACACCAGCACTGGGAATGTCCATTCAAGAACGAGACCTGCTACCACTGTGGTCGGCAGGGCCACACAAAGGTGGCCTGCCGTAACAAGGACCCACAGGCTACGCCAAGGAAGAATCCAAGTCATGGTCGGCATGGCAAAGTCAAATGCATGAGCCAACAACAGGACTTGAGTCAAACTCAGCAAGACAGCCCAACTGATGAGTACGTCATGCAAATCCGCCTGCCTGTGAACAAGACAGAAGTCAGAGAAAATGAACCACTTGTCACAGCAGTGAACATGGACGACAGAACAGTCCAGATGGAAGTGGACACAGGAGCAGCAGTCACAGTGATGTCAGAACAGCTGTTCCACAAGCTGTGGCCAACAAGAAAACTCGACAAGTCCAGCCAACGACTAAAGACCTTCACTGGAGAGCCCATTCCAGTTGTTGGTCAAGTCGATGTGAAGGTGCTCGCTCAAGATGAAGTAGTGCACCTACCACTCCTGGTGGTGGGAGGTGAAGGTAAGCCCCTGCTAGGTCGCAACTGGTTGTCAAAGATGCGACTGAACTGGCAGGCCATCTTCCAGGTGAAAGCCTCACTGGAAGAAAAAGCGCAAGAGCTCCTGAAAAAGTTCCCAAACCTGACGAAGCCAGAACTTGGAAAAGCAAATACTGAAGCTCATCTGGAGATAAATCCCGACATAAAACCGTATTCTGCAAGCCCAGGTCAGTTCCACTAGCTCTGCGTCCGCTGGTAGAAGAGGAGCTCGACCGTCAGATCAAGGCGGGAATCTTGAAGCCCTGCAAGTCGGCGCAGTGGGCAGCGCCCCTGGTGACCATCCTGAAACCAGATGGCAAGTCAGTACGGCTGTGTGGGAGTTATAACCTCACGGTTAACAGAGCCAGTCATCTGGAGCAGTACCCATTACCGAAAGTGGACGAGCTCTTGACCCAGCTATCTGGAGGTGAGAAGTTCTCGCTAATAGATCTGGAACAAGCCTACCTGCAGATCCCGCTGTCCGAGTCTAGCCAGAAATACACAGCAGTGAACACACACAAAGGACTCTTCTCGGCAACCAGATTGGTATATGGAATCAGCAGTGGTCCTGCCATATTCCAGCGCCACATCGAAACTCTGTTGGCCGGAATCCCGAACACCACGGTGTTCCTCGACGACATCTGCGTCACAGGCCCCAACGATGCTGCACATCTGGCCAACCTGGAGGAAGTGCTAAAACGCCTGGACCGAGAAAACCTGAGAATCAATGCAAAGAAGTGTCGTTGGTTCCTGCCGGAAGTCTCCTACCTCGGACTGAGAATCGACAAAGAAGGTCTGCATCCAACAGATCAGAAGATCGCAGCCTTGAGAGACGCCCCAGCACCTGAAAACGTCGGACAGCTGAGGACGTATCTCGGTCTCATCAACCACTTCAGTCGCTTCTGCCCGAAGCTGAGTGCAGTCGCGGCCCCACTGTATGCCCTGTTGAAAAAAGATGCAGAGTGGCGGTGGCGAACGGCTGAGGAGAACGCCTTCAACGCCACGAAGACACTCCTCTGTGAGGCACCATGCCTCGCTCACTTCGACGGAACAGCCCCCGTCATCGTCTCAGCAGACGCCAGCTCATACGGCCTGGGCGCCGTCCTCTCACAAATGACTCCAAGTGGAGAACGCCCAGTCGCCTTCGCTTCCCGCACACTCAATGAAGCAGAGAAGAAGTACAGCCAGCTCGACCGGGAAGGTCTCGCCCTGGTATTCGCGGTGAAGCGATTCCACAGCTTCCTCTACGGTCGATCGTTCACGCTGAGAACGGATCACAAGCCTCTACTGGGACTGCTTGGCAAGACCAAAAACCTGCCAGACGCTGTTCCGCCCCGCATGGTGAGATGGAAGGTGACTCTGGATGCCTACCAGTACCATCTCGAGCACACGCCTGGCAACGCAGCTCAACATGCCGCAGCAGACGCTCTCAGCCGTCTCCCAAGACCGGAAACTGTGCCAGAAACGTCAGTGACACCGCTCATGGAAGTCATTCACATGCTCGAAGCTGACGATGCCCTGGTAACAGTTGAAGCAGTTCGAGAGTGGACGCGACGAGACCCGACTCTCTCAGAAGTGCTCCACTACACCCGGTATGGATGGCCCAAGGCTTCAGCTGTAACGCCAGCCCTCCTGCCGTACCACGGTCGCCAAACCGAGCTGAGCATACAAAACGAGTGTTTGCTCTGGGGATGTCGTGTCGTTGTACCCCCCGCATGCCGTCAGAAGGTCCTGAGACTGCTCCATGAAGGACATCCCGGCATCTGCACCATGAAGCGCCGAGCCCGTGGCCAGATCTGATGGCCCGGAATGGATACAGACATTGGAGATGTGACCAAAGTCTGTGATGCCTGCCAGCTGAATCAACCAGCTGCGCCGAAGGTGGCATCCCAACCATGGCAGTACCCAGACGCTCCGTGGCAGCGAGTCCACGTGGACTATGCTGGTCCTGTAGAAGGGAAGATGCTCCTCATCATAGTAGACGCATACAGCAAGTGGCCTGACGTCTGGATCACCAACAACGTCAGCGCTCAAACAACCATCGATCATCTCCGCATGACGTTTGCCACGCACGGTCTTCCAGAAGTGATCGTGAGTGACAACGGTGGCTGCTTCACCAGCAAGGAGTTCGGCGAGTTCATGAGCGCCAATCAGATCCGCCACGTCTTCACTCCACCGCTGCACCCGGCATCAAATGGCCAAGCCGAGAGCATGGTCAAGCTGGTGAAGAACGGCATCAAGAAGCAGAAACCAGCACCGCTGCTCACGAAGCTCCAAAGATGGCTGTTCCAGTACAGGAACACACCGCACACGACAACAGGGAAAGCTCCGGCCGAGATGCTTTTCCGTCGTGCTCCTCGGACGCATCTCAACCGGCTGCATCCGTTGGAGGAAAGGAGAAGCCGCAGTAGTGTCGAAACGGGCACTGTCATCCGAGCCTTCCGAACTGGAGATCCAGTCTACATCACTGAAGTAACAGCCTCCGAGTACAGATGGCTCCCAGGCACGGTTCTCGAGACATGCGGACCGACCTGTACGGTTCTTCTCCAAGATGGCCGCAAGTTCCGCCGACATGAGGATCACATCCGGCCGCGATACACGTCTGGTGATACCGGACTGTTCAGGGAGGAAGGACGTTCTCAAAGCGACTGCCTCTTCCAGCCGCCTGCAGCTGAGCCCGGACCTGCAGCGCCCCGATCAGCGCCTGTCACTCTGCCAGAAACGCTTCCGGCTCAACCGGCAGCGCCTCCAGCGTCATCAACTACAGCACAGCCAGTGACGCTTCCTCCGGCCGCTGAGCCAGAGATCGCTCCGGCGCCCGCGAGCGGACACCAGCTCGCTGGACTACCCAGCCCCGTGGCGAACTCTCGTCCGGCGCGTAACCGGCGTCCACCCGATCGCCTGAACTTGTAAGCGCTGGAAACAGCTGGAAGGGAGGTGTTATAGTATTGCAGCTAATTAGTGCCTACTGTTGTGTTGCAGCTAATTAGTGCTTACGTCACAAGCTTTCGTTTGTTGTGTTTTCAGACCTGTCCTTGCACAAAGTTGTTGTTGTTTACCACGTGGCCATGCCGTGAACTAAGCCCAGTGTCTAAAGCCTAGACAAATACAGACGTGGATGCAACACTGGCGGCTTTTGATCCCATTCTTTCCATGCAACGCCCATTGGGCTAATGCTAAAATGCCAAAATCAAAGGGGGCACGGTGCCTACCACCCCCCTTCCGCCGCCTACGGCTTCTGTCATGGCTGTGCAATTGGAGCTCAAGCTTTTGTTTTGTTTTGTTCGGCTAGGCTCTTTCGAATTCGGTCTAATGAGAGTTCAAGCATTTTCAACAAACCGGCAGTGTTTTTTTTTTTTTTTTGGCAAGAGAGAGGCTTTCCGTTTTGTCATGAAATTAATCATTTTGAGGCTGTTGTGCGCTATCAATTTCATTCATGAATTTATTTATGGCTGCGTTTTCTTCTTGTCCTTAGATTCACTCTACCCGATTGACAAACGTCATCGTATGAGCATTCCTCAGTCACAACTTACACAAACATTTTTAAAATCCCTGCACCTCAAACGAAATAGTAAATACCCATGTCTTCAACAAGAGCATATAACAAATCATCATCACCATCATTCATTTGAATGGACATCAGATTCAGTGGCCATTGCCAAAAAACGTGATCCGATCTAATGTTTGCGAACGGCTACCGGAAAGGGCCCCGGAATCACTTTGCTGATCGTGAGAATTTTCTCATGAGAGCTCACTGATTGAAAATGCACGCGGCAAGGCGGAAGTGGCAAGGCTGAAAATCGTTCACAAATTGTTCAACTCGCCATTCAAGTGCTCAGTTTGCTACGACGGCGTGTCATACAGCAAAACTGAGTGTTCAATTACCAGAAAAGTCTTGAGCAAAATTGACAAATAAATGCCGATGCGGAACAAAACAGACACCTATCTCCTACAAGTCCTACATTTATGAGTTCTATTCTATTTAATGACGAATTTCGGAGACACCTTCATTGCTAACCAAATACTAGAAAGCGCTCACAAGTCACAACAATTGTCCACATTTTCCAGTAGCATTGCGCTGATTACATTTAGACTAAACGCATCGTCAATTGACGAAACCAAAGTACACACAAACACGCGCTAAACTACCATCCACTGCGGAGAATCAGAAATTCAAAAATCACCGTTTTGTCTTCTCGTATACCTCCACGTTTAGACATCACCGCGGTCTCAAAAGAGCATTCCAAAAGGTCACTCCTATCAACACACGCAGCTCCGGCCAGCTGCACCCCTCCCCCTCCCCCTCCCCCTCCCCTCCCTCCCCTGTGTCTGCAAAGCAGCCACACGTGCAGCGACGGGCCTATCGCTATCGCCACCTCCTGCACGACGCACGCGCGCACACGCGTACGTCGGTGCGATTAAAAACAGGTGCAAGTCTGCTGCCTTGAACTACGCCTCGTGCTTCTGGTGCAGCCAGTATAAAAGTAAAGCCAGGTCGTCAGGGGTTCAATAGCGCGTTTGCGCATACGAGTACGCGAGTGCTGGGTTGTCTGTAGTGGCACTGGTGACCCGGGGTGTTGGGTGCTTCACCCTGGGCCCCTTTCCATCGCTCTCCTCCTCTCCTTCCCTAAACACACCCTCTGCAACACATCTGCAGGCTGCAACCACCACTATCAAAGGGTTAATATGCGAAGATTCTCTCTCTCTCTCTCTCTCTCTCTCTCTCTCTCTCTCTCTCTCTCTCTCTCTCTCTCTCTCTCTCTCCCTCTCTTTCTTTCTCTTACTCTTTCTCTCCCCCCTTCCTCCGCTTATCTCCTCTTCCTCCTATCACCCTCCTACCCACCCGTCAGCCCCCCCCCCACCCCACAAACACTCCCGGAGATCTCCCTCCCTCCCCCCCATCCTAGTGGACCGGTTTACCCAGCCCGGCACCGGCGGCTGATTTTTGCGCCGTGTACGTCCTTGTCGGTCGCTGCCACGCCATATTTGACTTGGTATGCGCCAAAGACTGGGCACCTGGCGCCAGCCAGACGGCGGTACCGGAGGCACCGGCGCGGCGGCGGCGGCGGCGGCGGCGGCGGCGGCGGCTCGGAGGCGGCGGCGGCGGCGGCTCGGCGGTGGTGTGGCGGGGGGTGGTAGTGGTAGGTATTTATCACTTTTTTTGGTGGCGGCGGCGGCGGCAGTGAGGGCAGTGGTATAGCTAATTTTTTTCGGCTGCAGAAAGTTGGCGGCGGCGGGGCGGCGGTGGCGTTAGTGGCAGGTATTTATAATTTTTTTTCGGCGGCGGCAGCAGTGTTGGGTATTTCTTTACGGCGGCGGCGTCGTTTTGCTACGCGGGCACACCTTGTAGTCTGGCGCCAGCGTGCCGCCGGAAAAAGTGAGACAAACTGTTTTGTCTGGAATCTGGGATTATGTTTCGGCTGTTGGGGTTAAGAAATGGCCAAGATGAAGATTGAAAAGTAACGCCAAATATAAATAAAAGTTATCAATATTATTATCTGGCTGTTTTCTAAAAAAATAATTTTAGAACTAAAAATCATTTGCTGCAATGTTTAGGCATTGTTGACACCTTGCTAGCTTCTAAATTTTTACTTTTTTTCATCGACTCACTGGCGGATCCCGGGCAAATTTGGGGCAAATCCCCCCGCCCCAGCAACGCCCGAAATCGACGAAAATTTATGGTTTTCGAGAACAAAGCGAAAAAAACAATTTTTATTAGGAAAACATTTGTTTAAACTGCACCTCAGTGCGTAAGGAATCGATATCCGTCGATCTGATGTTTTTTTTTTAATTTTGAGGAAGTTAACCCCTATGAAAGTAAGAAAGTATGCCCCTCGCGGCGTCCAAAACCGCCTTTCTGTATCCACCAGTAGCAGTGCATCTACAAAGTCGCCTCAGTCATCGGAACACTGTATTCAAGAATTGGCCATACTTTCCTATATCGCGAGGTCCAGAAGGCAGCTGTGTGTATAGATGGGAGGTCAGATTAGGGGGGGGGGGTTGGTGAGGGGGGTCAATTACCCAGGATAGGATACCACGTGCACGGGCCGAGGAAGTATACTCAGGAAGGCCGCTTGTGGTTTAAGGAGTGCCGACAGGCGGCAAATAATCACGCTTCGTGACGTCATTTGAGTTAAGACTCATATGACGTCAGTGAGTTCTGGGTGGCACCGGTTGCGAAATAAGCACGCTCTGTGAATATTGGATACAGGCAGGGTTGTATTCGACTCAATCAATAGCAATCAATTCAATCACGACAAATTTGGGAAACCAATCAAATCAATCAAGTCAGAGCAGTTTTCGGGAATTGATTCAATCGACTCAAACGCGACAATGAAAGGAATCAATCAACTCAATCAAACGACTCAAACCAAGACATACATTAGGTTTTTTGCCCCACCAACTTGGAAAAGTGTCCATAGCAGTCTGGTGTAGGGGAAGTTGGGGCAATGCCGGAGTTGGGGCAAAGCCGAAATTCGAGATATTTCGAAAACCGTAAGACATGGATGCCACCTGTCAGTGATGCTCTGAAGCTTAAGTGACTACAATTATCGCATGTTTGTTACGAGTCGTCATTCGGAATACTTCGGCTGTGAGGGCGCCAAGAGCAGACTTGTAAGCGATTCAAAAAAATTCAATCAATTCAATCACGACTCACTTGATGAAATGACCGATTCAATCATAACTCAATCAAACAGTCTTGATTTTCCAAGCGATTCAATCACGACTCATGGACCTTGTGGTTCAACTCAATCGCGACTCATCTCATTATCAGTGATTCAGGGAATGACTCAACTCATGATTCAACTCAACGCGATTCAATCAACATGTTATTTATAATATATACATATGTGATATTAATTTAAGAAATTTTTGGAAACTGATACCAAACTGATACCAACCAAATACACTGGGAGAATACCAAAAAACATAGAAAAGTACTAAGTCTATACCGAACTCAACAAAATGGTAGGTATTCATATAAATATGGTGTAAAGATGATAATTTAAGTACAGAATACACAAGTTCTGTTACAAATGAAGCTACCAGAGGACTTATAAATTTATTCATCTGCCTGACGCTTGCAAAAGGAAACATATGCAAAATTTCACAGAACACTACCACATATTATTATCAGCATCTTCGAAAAGGACCGAAACTTGCAAATCAATTGTGACACCCAAACTAAAATAGCTGGTGATCAGCCATATAAAAAAATATTGATTGATACTTTATGAAGCAGTGGTAAAGCAGGTTTACACAGGACTAGACATTTTCGGCTCGCTACAAGTTTTGTTTACTAGGCATCAAGACTACGGATTATGGACACTTAAGAAGCTATTCAATAGTTACATAATATAAATTTGAATGCTCTCATGATAAAACTACCTCAACCATCATATCTTCAAGGACAAAAAACAATTCCAAGCCCCCCACGACACCAAACTTCATACGAGGCGGAGCTTTGTAATGGCCTGGCTACACTATGCGTTTTCTGCGTGCGTTTTTTGCTTGTGCGAGTTTGCGTGATTTGCATTATATGGTTCTAGAAAGAAACGATATTTCGTTTTTGTTGTATTTTTTTATAAAAAAAAACTTTTAATTATCATAAAGGCTTTATTAAGTTTTATATAATATACGCAAAACACGCAAACTCGCCAAAAACCCACGCAGAAAACGCATAGTGTAGCTAGGCCTTTATACGCATGCGCTAAGTGGGCAGCCATCTTTTATTCAGCAGCAGACCTATACAAAATACGGCAATATGTGACAGATCTATTAATGCTCGTAAGCCAAGGTATTCCAATTATTTATGTTGATAGGTAAACGCTGATTCTGCTGGGAAATGTAAGGTGAGTTAGAAGACCATGGGTTAGATCAAGCAATTTATGACCCCTAGCCCAAAATCAAAT